TTCAAGTCCTGTGCAAAAACGCATGATCGCACGGGCCCGTCCGGTGCGTTCCAGCCTGGGTTAATTCTGGCGTCAAAAAATTTACATGTCTGTACCTGAGACGTAGGTGCAAGTGAAGACTGAATTTTACTTTACATGTTCACATGCGAGCTAGGAACATTCCCCTAAAATTTCAGCTTCCTACCTTCTGTGCTCCCCTAGTTATTTAGGCGCCAAAACTTTCACGTGACCGTATGTGAAGCCGAAGTACGCGGACGCTGAATTTGAGTTTTTGCGACCACACGTCGATAGGAGGTCTCCCTTTAAAGCTTTTACTGCCAAGCTTCTGCGGTTCGCAACTTGAAACTCCCGGATAAAATGCACTCGGAACACACATACACACACCCACCACACACACACACGCACACACACACGAACAGGGTCTTGGCGAAATGCGTTTCGTGCAACTGTTGCAGCACAGTGCGCATAAAAAAGTGATTGGTCCTGTGTTACGTACGGGCTTTCTGGTTGATAAGTTTCTTCGAGGCAGTAGTTCTTTGTTCTGAAGATCAGTCTCTTCGCCTCAGGTTTTTCATGACTCAGTGCTGGAGTCCTATGAACGGCATCTTGTACGGCCCAGGCGGTGGGAAGGATTCAGTTCTGTCTAGTTATAAAGTATTACTGAAAGGATACTATTTTTTGCTAGGATCGATTGCATTGGAAAAATTTTTATAGAGCAATGAAATGTGTATGTGCTGAATGCTTGTGATTTGTTTCACTTCAATCCAATTGTTCGCAGACATTGTGAACGAGAATTTGTATCAGCAAGCCGAGCAGTAGCAGCAGCATGCAAGCCGATCTTTCATACTATTCGCATACGATCGAGTGTAATTTCTTGATTGAACGTATGAAGCGCTGCTATCACGATCATCCTCTAGGTTCGTCTTTCTAGGGCACATGAAATGCTCTGTTAAATGATCATTTCAGCTAAGTGACCGGAATCTTTTCTTCCTGTTTTAATGCTTTGGCTTAGATTGTTTGTCGAGTTGATTCCTAACAATTGATGGTTTTGCAAAACACTAAAAATACCACTTTGGGAACTATGCAGCTATGCGAACTTTCGACCTTCAAAAAAGCTTTTTTTACGCAGTATTGCATCTGTTTTTTTTATACATTTGTCTATACTCATATATCTTGTTTGGCCCTGTTCGCATCCAGCATCTGCGTTTCTTTGTCTTGGTATAGCGTCTATTTCCACATCCACTTACTACATTTCACTTACTTTTGGCATTTTGATCAGCTTCAGTTCATAGCTTGATTCTGCAGCCATGCGCCTAGCAACTTTTCCAGTCACTCTGTCCATTGCTGTTTTGCCAGTGGTCTTTTTTTGTTACTAGTTTTGCTCGCTTATTCTGCGGAAGGAATTATCGGTCTTCCCAACTGAAGCATTGGATAAGTTTCGAAATACCCGTAATGCATTCTGTTCCTTACTAGCTATCGATCGCTGTCACTCCTGGGTTATGATGAAGTTCCGTTCCAGTTAATAGTTATCACATATTTTTCACTGTTTTGTGTGATAAAGACAAATTTTTGAACTTATGCAGGAAAATTTTTGGGCTTCTGTGACAAAGAAAGTAGTGATGTTGCTGCATGCTGTCACGAAGAGCGAATTCTCAAGAGGTATAATACACATCATTTTTTACCTTCTTTGTGACTTGCATTTTCGATAAAAATGCTTTTTTATAATGGCTCTGTTTGTCGTGATTAGTCCTTCAATCAACTCACCAAAACCAGTCAACTCCGGCAAAGCATTTCTGGACACGCATTTTAATTTTTATCCCAGTATGCTGAAAACGCAAGTGTTTGAATTCTTTTTATTCGTTTTGTGCTGTGCAGCAGCTGCGCAAAACATATTGTAATGGGATTGTCTGTGTGTGTGTGTGTGTGTGTGTGTGTGTCTGCAGCAACTTGTCCGCAGCTTTCATCTCGGGAACCACAGAAGC